ATGCCAAAAAAAAATCCCTATTGAAAATGATGGCTTTATTGTAATAATTAAATGAACATACAACAGATAATAAACAGTATCATGTTTGGGAGGTTTTCTGTTCTGAAGTTTCATTTTAAAATGGCATTTCATATAAGACTGGCCTACCCTAAAAAGGAACTCGGGTGGATGCATTAGTTACGTTGCTGCAGCTATAGCAGCAGCAAAGGTTTCCACATAGTAATCTTTTAGTTTATATATATGAATATATATATTTACCAATACAATACATAAATATAAATTCCCTTTCAGCAGACATTAGACAACAAAAAAGACTTCCCAAGTGACAGAAATGATACAAATTAAGATGTAAAGTAACGATGCAAACATCCCCTGAGCACTCACCGCTGATTGACAAAAGGAGTGGAGAACTCTGCAAGCAGACGGAAGTTTCCAAAATAAGCCAGCAGACCTTTGCTCTGGTTAGTAAAACAAAACAGACGTTGCAAAATCAACAACAGAGATGGGAAACCTCGATTACAGTCTTCAGGTATACACAGATTGACACAGTGTCTCAACTTCTTTATTAAGCAAAGCAAAGAAGTTCGCCAGCTCTAGCCAACTTCCTTCCAACTTCAGAGTTCACCCGCAAAGCTGCAGCTGTCCTTCATTTATCTTACAGTTAAGTGGCCATGGAGAGCTAGCTACAGAAGACTAGCATGAGTAGTCCTGGGTTATAACAGTACTAAGAGAATTATAACTATTTGGGGTTTCTGAATGTTTAAACAAGCCCAAAAATAAACACCGTAAGCTAAAGTGTCCCTGCACTGGTTTAGGAACATCATTCACCAAGTGAAGATGAATTCCCAGCTCTTGGATGGCAGCAGAAAGGGCACATAACGCCCTTTCTTCCCTCTCCCACACTGCAGGGGAAACCCTTTCCACCAGTTCTGTCACGGTCCCAGCCATGCCCTGTGAGTTGGAAGATGATCACATCTTCTCCGTGGCAGTAGCCAGGTGACTGCGTGGCACTTTTACATTGCTACACATTGTAACTGAGCACTTTCCTCCAAGTGACAAAGTACAGTATATTCTCTGCCTTATCGTTTGGTTGTGTTGGAAACAGCATCCCATTACACAACGGCTGGGTCAGCAGCACTTTGCAGATGTAGAGATAAAAAGACTTTTAAAGCATTTAGATCGGCTTCCTGAACAATCTATGTAGCGTGTGTCGTGATTTCCCCTTCCCTCACCAGATGTGCTTGTACCCACTACTTCAGTCATGTCATGTCAGTTCACACTACACCAAACAGAAAAATCCGTGTTCTTCATCAAATTCTTTCCTATCTTCAAGAGCCATTTTTGAAGTAAGATACTTAAGAGTAACCTTCTCTGAAGATAAGAGAATGAAAGGAACACACAGACATCCAAGGGCAAAGCTACAGCCAAATAATAACTGATTTAAAAGAAGTTCCTACTAAAACTAGACTATTTAGTCCAGAAACAACTCATGACTTTCCTGCATCAGGGATTAGCCTTGGTACTGGTATTTTCATTTCTCTAATCCTCAGCTCTAATTCACTTTCATCCATGATAACATTAGTAGATCTAATTCTCTTCAGCCCGAAACAGAGCATTTACTTGTCAGTATACTTCATCCCCTTTATATTTCCTCTTACGTGGGAAATCTGACAGTAATCTGGCACCTCAACACTTTCAGTACTGTAAACCCAGGATTCTCACAGAAGGCAGGCAAAGAAATGTGGTAAATGAAGTAAAATGCATTTTACAAGATTTCCTTTTTACTGAACAAGGTTTTTGGAAGGAATTCAGGAGCATTATTCTAGAGGTCAATGGGACTCTTACCAAGTCACATGAGCATCCATGAGAAATTCCAGCAGCAGCAAAGAATAGCCAAGTTAGGTTTTATCCTAGGACAGTATCCTTCTCTTCCCCTTTTCCCTTCAGTGTATGTATGTGACAGACATTTATATATATACACACAGTTCATCATCCACTGTTTCCCCACCAAAGTAACCTTAAAGAAAAAAGCCCACCCAGCTGACTGTGGTACATCCACCAGGATTATGGATCACTGACCAATGGCTTTGCAATACAATCACAAGCAGAACATAACCACTTGAAACCATCTCCTTCCAATTCTTCAACTAAACATTCAGACTTGGGGGTTAATTTGAAACCCTTCTCTATAACCATTTGAAAAGGCCCTCTATCAAATGTCCCTCTCTAGCAAAAACTGAGAAGAGTTTGAATTTCAGCTGTTAAATAAGTTACATATTTTTGTTGAAGGGCTGTAATAGTGAAATATTAAACACGTACCACAAATAACTGATAAAACCATTGAGAAAGTAACAGTGACTGAAAACAGCAACATGCCTTTCACAAAGCTTCATAAACAGTAAGCAAATGAGACCTCTAAAAGCACTGTCTTCAGTGTCACCTGCTTGTTATGTTACTGGAAAAATACAGCACTCACCAGTACAAAATAGTAAGCATACAGAGCTGCCAAGTGATGTATTACAAAATATTTGTCACCAATTGCCTTCCAGTAGTAAATAATAAGCAACAAATCTACAAGAGAAAAGAAATAACGATAAGGAACAATTTATTACACTGTCTTTTACCCCAGAATAGTTTTAAAGGTATAAATGCCAACATAGGGCATCAGTAGAAACACTGCCTGAGAGGAGAAAAATCTTCGTTCTCAGACTCGACTTTAGTCAAAGCATTAAGCAACAGTTTTCTTCCAACAGTTGCTACAAATCACAACTTTCCACTTCAACAGAAGTACAGAGGCTGAGATAGTTTGGAAGAAAAAAGTGCATTCAGACTCTTGCAGCACTTTTGAACCCCTAACTTGGGAAGAAGAGAAAAAACCAACCAAACAGGGGGTTGGGGGCTTAGCCAATACACAAATCCATGCAGGGATCTATTACAGGGAACTTGTGAATCAGAAAGTAGTTATATTAGCTAACAGTGAGCCATTTACTAAGAATATTTTGCAAAGGACACTTGGAATGAGAAGCATGTTTGCTTTATTCAATCAGAACTTTCCATTTACTGCAGAAGTGATACAGTGGGCCCGAGTTAATGCTTTGACAGAAACAGTCTTTCTCCTCCCATGATGGTCTAAGATTTCAGAAGGTTTTGGTTTTTATACTGCAAGAAACAATTCCTGCCCCTGCTTTCTCCCAATGAGTACTTTAAACTGGAGTATCAGTGAGCAAGGCTTCAAATCAAAGACTTCACCCCCGTGCCTTTTGTATCTCCAGCGAGTGTCTTGATCTCTTTTATATTAGCCATCTTCAGGCAGGACTCTACATCATCTGACACAGCTGCTCCACTTCCTATTAATAATTAAACATGAACCATACAAGGAAGTGAGAGAGAACGAGTGGCCAGGTTCAGGTCTCTGTTCAAAGGCATTCATTAATCCATCATGAAATTCTAATGCATAATTATTCAAAAATAGCTACAAATGAATTTAAACATGAAAGCTGATGTTCTTATGGAAAAAACCAGAGGCTGAAACTAACCCACAGTTTAACTGAGTGTGCCAGTCACCAGACTATCTCCGCTGGGGTGAGAAAACTAGTCTGAGAGATAGTCAGGTCCATGACCCAGTCCTAACATGAGAACTTCTCCCTGAAAATAGCCCAAGTCACAACAAGTTTTTGCTCTGATAAGTCAGTATTATCTCCACACACCATAAAAGAAAGCTCCAAAGCTATTTGCAGCAGAGTTCCCACAGCAGTTTTAGTGGACAGTAAATAATTAAGGACACATATATGGGGTAAAATGCCATTTCAAGAAAAGAACAAAAATTGCCCCATTATACATGACTCAGTTTTGGCTTAAAGTGAGACTAAAAGCTGGGCAGGCAGGATCCTATGGCATCATTTGCCTCAGCTTGTATTGAAGGCTATTAAAATTCTCCTGCCAGCATTCTGAGCTCATAGGAAGAAGCATATGACAAAAGAGCCACAAGTTGTAAGCACCCCGAGGGAGTGAAGGGCACTGCTTTAACACCTTCTCAACTGGCTGAAGGACAAAACTGAGCTGGAGTTGGTGGTTGTGCAGCAAACCATCATGAAGCCACACAGTGGCACCTCCCCCGTACTTGGGGAGATGGTATTTCATCTTTCACATCCACTGGCAAGCTCCTGTGATTTCACCACAGCCCACAACTCCATTAGCAATTGGCAAAGCCACAGTAGCGACTGTACTGTACACACGTGTCACATCCCCGGCACAGCGGCTCAGTATCAATGTATAGGCATAGTGACTCAACGTAAATATACAGGTTCGGTGTGTTATAGACACATTGCATAATTACCAGAAATGAGGTAGCCTGTGGTAATAGCAATATTCAGTTTCACAATTGAAGGGTCACCCCTGCAAACATACCAAAAATACATAGTTACACCCTTTATAACAAGGTAATTTGCAAAGGATATACACACATCAAACACAGAATGTCTATCAGGTCACCTTATTCCTGGCCCATCAGTAAGACCTTTCAAGACTTGGTTAAGAAAGGTCCTAGTCATGCAATTGGATTCCTTTTTCACCCAGCTGTAAGATATCTACTAACTACCTTAACCAGGAATACCTCCTGCCTTGGGGCAGAGAGTGCCCAAGAGCCTTGCTAGAGGCTAGACCTGGAACAGAGCAAGTACCCTTAGCTGGCTTCTCTGGGAACAGGGTAAAAGAGAACACTGCATCTCCATTTCTGTTCTTCTGCCAGTGTTAAAACTTTGTTAAGGATGACAGAAATATCTTGCTCAGCTGGTACTTTTCATATTCATAAGAGGATGGATACTTATAGGGATAAACAGAGTAGGAGGAGACATGAAAGGAGTTATTTGCCAGTTCTCTGAAACCAAGGAACCTTTGAGAAGAAATGCTTCCCAGGGGAGTTTCACACCTTCTGTCCCTTCCCTTCTGATGCCAAACATTCAGCAGCATACACGCAACTTCAGTTCCTCAAGGATGTTCAACAAACCCAAACCTGTGAATGCACCTCAAGAAGGGGAATCATCCACATTACAGCAAGTAACGTTTATCCCTCCCTCCACCATCCTCTGTGTGGCTGTATTTTGAGTTTGGTGAGCAAACCTCTTTTCCTCAGCATAAAGATCATAACGTGTTTTTAACTGAGTTGTGTAAGTTTGTGTAAGTATGAATTGAGCTTCAAGTGACAGGTCTAGAGACTTATCAAACGTGGACTGCACAAGACAAGCTGTGAAAGCAATCTTTGTTGTTAACCTTCTGAGATAAAAGGAATGAAACTGCTTATAGCACCTCCAATACAAACTCTCCCTCAGCTAGAAAGCAGTAAAAGGCTATTACTTAGCTTTTATTTTTAAATCCTATTGGAATGAAGCAGTGGAAGAGATTTCCTGTATTACTACAATCTGTTCACTAAATTCTAAGGCCTTCTCAGCATCTAAAACTAACTGCTTCCCTGAGGGAGAGGGCAGCTTGCAGGAAAGTAGGATTCACAAAACCAGATTTCTGCCATTAGATGACCAGGAGAGGCTGGAGCTCACTCCATCCCTTCAGAACAGAGACATAGAAGCTCTCGTAACTACCACTTGAAACAGGAACGTTGTTCCATGGCTTCAAAACCCGATTTCATGGACTATGTAGGTTGAAGGCTGAGTGCTTCTTTTGGTGTACCTCCTCTGAAAGTCACAGCTAGACACAGAGCACAAACAGCTGTGTTCTCACACACAGAAACTCTTTAAATAGTTACAGCCTTCCCATTAGAGCTCCCAGCTGCAGCAGTGGCATCATCACAACCAAACTTGTAAGTGCTCCCAACACACTTAAATGAATCATCACTGAGATTGAGCCTGCTCTCAAGAACCTTCATATTCTTCTCCAGAATAGATGCAGAGGATTGAATGTGTGATTGCTCCTTGGTATTGGTGACTTAACTGGACAAGACAGGAATGATTCTATTCCCTTTGTTCTTTCCTTGAGAATGGTCATCTTGCAACAAACCACCTATGGACTTTCTAAACCAACACTCGACGAGGCTACACTGCCCATCTGTCACATCCCTTCAAGAAGAATCCATGTTAGAATCCCAACTAGGATTAATTAATGGAAAACTTAGAATTTAGTCTAAAATGTTCTAGATTTCCTGATCTGTTTCCTTGAATGGCAATTGAAACAGAGCTTACGAGCCCTGATGTTTGCAGCCTAGTTTTGATGCAAGCAAGAATCAGGAGTGACAAACAGGGAGTTATTTGAATAAGCAGAAGGGAAGAGCTCTCTCTTTTGTGATTGCTAAGGAGGTATGTGTGGCAACTGAATTACACACGAACATGCACAGGCAGACAGAACAAACAAAAAAGCCCACATGAGTATCTTCAACCTTCTTTGCAGATACAGCCATACAAAATGCTAATCAAACATCACACTTCCAAGTGTAATGACTATCAAGTGGCCAGTTGTATGAAGAAGCCTGTTCCGTGAAGCTCCAATTTAACTCACTTATTTACAAAGCCTCCTTTTCCTTATCTGGTCTCTACCACCTCCACATTTTCTACCATGTTATTCTCACCACCTCAAAAAGAATTTCTCCATCATCTATGTTAGCTAGTCTGTATTACATAGAGAGGAAAGGCCAAGTGCTCTGCAGAGTCTTAGACCATCAAAAAACATACACATACACTAAGCTGATGCTTCCCTCTAACCCATCAGTGCTCCAGTCTTTATTATCCTCTGTTAGCATCTATAAGATCTAGATTCAGGCATTAATACCACATGTCTCCACAGAATCCAAACCCTCAGCAGGAGTCCTGATCCCTTATCACAGTCATCATGCATTTAAGCTCCACAGGAACCAAGAATTTAGGCTGACATCTGCAGAGGCTCAGAACTTGTGATTTGCCATTATAGATATGGGTATCTTTAAATCCCACAGACAAGAGCTGACTGGATACCATTCATACAGGCAATGACTACACAACGATGGTGGCAACTGTGAGAGAGAAAGAGGGTCTGTATCAAAACCTCCCCAGTAGTCTAAAATCAGAGCATCTGTGTAATATTTTCAGGCTTCCTGAGCTAGAACAGTGAAGGAATCCTGGACATTTACTTAGAAACTACTAAAACTAGATGCAGAAATGTTTCTTGTATTGTTGATAAGAGACTCACTCCTACAGAAAGCCTTATGCATCCTTTGTATCTGTGAATGACCAAGTCCCATAGCCTATGCCTGCACTTGAAAAGGACATTAGTTTTCCACACCGAGCAGCCTTGCAAGAGGCCATCTGGCATTTCCCATGTAGTTTGGTGGGTTTCCTCTTCAGTCTTACTCAGTTAAAATCAAGACTAATAGAAGAGTCAGCCTTAGGAGAAAATGCACATCTGCAAATTCTGGGGAAATCACCCTGCAACTCTGACTTCACTGGTAGAAGACAGCCTAATGCAAAGCTGCATTTCACTCACACGCTGTATCTAAGTACTTGTCAAGCCATGGGCAATATTATGTCTGGTCTTTCTTTGCACTTAATCACTTGCATGCACGTGAATTCAAATTATTGCAACTGGTTTGAGTACACTGATACTTCTCACACTTTAAAATTGCTAGTTTAATAACTGAGGATGCTGATTTCCACATCTAGAGCATGGTCTGTGCACTTTCAGCTGACAAGATCCTGAAACCACTAAGATAAGTCTAAGAAACAACGTACAGAAATACTGCCATGGAATGAACCTGAAGCTTTCATTTAAGACACACAGATTAGACACACTTCCACTAGATTCTTAAGTATCTATAAAGTTTTCCCTACTCTATCAATGTAAATAACACCAGCAATCATTGTAAACATATCCAAACACGAGAAACTATTTAGAAGCAATAGCTGAAATAAAGTGGTTTGATTTCTGATTAATTTGATTTTTTCCTGCAATTACACCAGGATGATTTAGTAAATGCAAAGACTCAGCTTATTTATCATCACTAAAAGGCTTTTATTTCTGCCATTCATGACTTCCTTTGTACTATTTAGAATAAGTTCTGCTCAAACAAACCAGAATAAAAGCTTCTACCTAAGAAACCTTACCACAAGAGACACACAAGAGAAGTCATAATAACGTGCTGCTTTCCAACATGATTAACACATCTCCTAAGATATTCAGACTGTCCTTGGTCTCTCTAAAGATACCAGAATGCAATGACAAAAAATCCAAAGCAGGCAACAATTTAATCATCTATTACTACATACAGAAAAGGCCAGTGTTACAACTACTGCATATTTTAATGGGATCTTAATTATTTCAGTAATAAACATACTCGGTTACGTTACTATAGACACAAGACACAGGTAACACTCCTTACCAGAGGCGGTCAGCATTCACAGCGTCATCGTATAACAAAATATAGAGGCAAAAGCCACCAACCACCAAGGCGTGGAATGTGGACACTGTCCTGAAAAAGAGATTACAGTCACAAGAAGGTACTGCCACTCACAACTGTCTATACTGTGCTCAAGCTCTCAACTGCATCCAGATACCTCTGTGAAAGTCAGTCGCCTCTTCTTTACGCTACATCCAACCACGATACAATGAGAGGTGGGAAAAACAGTCAAAAAGCAGGAATCTACTAGGTTGGAGCAAGGGGCCTCTTAAACAGAACACAAGTCTTAAAGTAACCAAGATCTTCATTTTCCCCTATTATCCCCTACGTGAATGAATCCTTGAAGACAATACAACGTCCAGTTCTCTAACAAATACTTGCTGTGTTGTCCCATTTTGCTGGAAAATCTGTATGCATTCCACATTCAGCCTGGCCCACAAGTCCTGCAGCAAGATTCAGCTTTCAGGCACCAGATTAATAAGATGACCCTTAATAAATCTGCCAAGTGAAGGTTTTGAAAAGAGGGGCATTCAATGGAAAACCTATCAAGGAAAGCACCGGAATTTCTAGTGCATTTGGAGTAGATTCTGGCTGTCAAAGAGAAAACTTGTGTAACAAAAGGCTGTAGCTGAGTGTCTGAGGTGTAACAGCTACAAGTTCATATGAACTACCAGCTCACTTTGCTTTATTTACAGTCCTCTTAAAGCTTTGCTTTATTTACACTCCTCTTGTCCTATATAAAATCACAGTAATCAGACTTGCCTTGTCCTTACTTGGGTACTAAACACTCCCTCTCCCCCCTGCCCAAATGACACCACTCCCAAGTATACAGGCTGCATGCACACTGTAGATAAACCCTGAATGTTAACAAGCACTTAAAAAGAACCACCTATTTACAGAGGCCCTGACAGGGTTTCTGCTAGCACACAGGACAGGACCATTCCTGCCCTTTGGAGTCCACATGTATTCTTGGAAGGTGGAACAGTGCAACGGGCATGGGTCCAAAACATGTCACCTTGCTCCTCTAGCCACGGGTTTAACACTACTAGAAACTGCATCTAATCCTGTGTAGCCACTGTCTGCTCTCCCACTTCTCAAGTGTGGCTAGGAAGGAAAAAAAGTGTGCCAAAATAGCTGTACTGAATCATGGATACCCTTTAAAGATGAGAACTCTCAGCTGGATGCTGTGTCATCAGAAACATCTCTGCACCATATTCACAGCACAAAAAATATGCACACAAATGTATAGATGCTGTTAGCTACTAGTTTTGTCTTGGTACATGTTAAATACATCTCTTTGGAAGTTATTAGTGTTTTAAATGTGCATAAGTCACTCTCAGGAGTCTAAACTCCACCGTGCAAAATTGGAGAAAGCCATCTTACTCCCTCTGGAAGACTTTGCAAAGAAGAAGTAGGTTGTAAACAAGGGTGATGCTCTCCTTAATGTGTTTAACATTAAGTTCATTTAGTTGTGAATGCTGCACATCCATAAAAGAAGACTCTATTTACAATTTGTTGAAAGAGCATCATAATGTTATTTTCAGCACTTTTTCCAACAGTGTTCCAAAAAATGAATGCAGATTTATGTAAGATGAATAGTCAAATGTGACAAGCTGGATGAGAACAGTTACTAACCACTAGCCACGGGCTGCTTTCTCGTTAAATCTTTCATTTATTTAATAAAGACAATTTAAGTTATCAGAATTAAGACATCTACTCTTGCAACACAGAATTAAACAGAGAGCTAGGAACTTAGCTTCGTTTTTAAAACAAATCATGGCATATAGTATTAGCATTTGAGAGGTGCCTGGTGTTCCTGAACGTTAGGAGAAGATAATGGTGAAAGAAGTAAAATTTGTCTTAACAGTATATAGCTCAGTTGCAATTTGTCTCAGGAGTGGCTGTCTATCCAAAGCTTAGTGTTCAGAATACAAGCTACACACAAACACAGCACTTGAAGGGGGAGAGGACAGAAAAACCAAAAGGAAGAAAGGAGCAGATTGCCTCCAACTCTGGACTTTGAAGTCTCTATAGAAGAAGGGGCAGAAGGAGGGAAATAGTGCAACACTCCAGTTTAATACAGAATCTAGGTCAAGCTCCACACATTTCTTTGAGAATACTGACAAAGCTTGTATCTTTCAACTCCTCATTAAACTGCAGGGAAAACAGTTGCACTGGTAAGTTGCATACTTATTCCTTTGTTACTCACTACATACATACTTACCAAGTGCTTAATAGCAGTACCAACATGGATTAATAGAAGAGGTGACAGGAATTTATGCACAGCAAATTAAAGAGCTGTATTACATTTGTGTCAAAGTATAGCTTTTAACTCAATCTGAGCATCTGCGTACTTAAGATTCCAGAAGCAATTACATTATTGGTTCTTAATTCTTGGAAGGTCAGAATGAACAAACTGACAGTATGGAAAACACAGCGCAGAGCTGCAGCTCCAATGTTTGATTACAAAACCCTCCAAACTGTAACAATATATTTCAATGCTACAGCTCATTTCAGGCAGCTGAGCTGATAAAAATGCATAACCATCCTCTGTGCCAGTTTCCTTCAGGCCTGCCAACAGAACCATTTGTGTGAGCACTCCCTACACCAGTTCAATATAGGACAACACAACAACCATCTGCTTTTCAGTCACTGAGGTTAACCCAACTCACTTCACCAGGAGATAGTAACCCTCTCTACCTGCACAGCTGTCTGCAGAGTACATATACGTCCATCTACATCCTCTGAACGTGTAAGTTTCTCCTTGGGATGTCTCTTTGTTCTGGTGGGGCAGTTTGACAGAACTCTGGTTAGCAGAGTTAAGAGTCAGTCTCTTGTAGAAAGGGAAGCACAGTTAGCCTCTCTTTCACTTCCCTCAGGTATAACATCAACAAGCTGTTGATGAATGATGCTCTGTGCCTCGTGCCTTCTAACTCCAGAACTGGATGCAGCACTGGACCACGACTCATTTGTGTGCCAACATCTACATCCTGCTATCAACCCTAAGAAAAAACTTGGGAAGAAGTGAAAAAAAGGACATAGCCTGGGGGTGCTGCATCAAGTTGAATAGTTGAACAGCTCACTACAAAATAGCCCAGAGATTACAGAGCAGGTTATTTCCAGCAAACCTGCTATGTGTGAGACAATTCATATGTTATTATGCAAAGCTGTTACAACAGCAACTAGGCATGGGATAAGTTCTCAGAAAGCCTATTATGCAATTCTATGGTCACTTGATGTGGCTTAGAGACAAAAGTTCAGCTCCAGCATGATAAGTTTAGTTTAGCTTCCCTGTCTGCCTCCATTGCTAGGTAAACCTAACCTGCACCAATACCATGAACTGGCATCCTACAAAGTTGTTGTGGCAGATAGGCAATCATTCAAAGATCAAACTGAAATTGAGATGGTGCCTTTAAATACACTGCAGGTGGACGTTTGCCAAATGGAAGGGCAAGACTATTTGAGTTGCTAATGCTGCCTAGAACAATGGAAACAACTTTAAAAGTATCCACCTGATGTTGCCTTTAAATAGCACGGAGGAGGAACAGTGATCCAACTCATGCATTTTGCGTGCAGCGACAGCCACACAGAACAGTTTTGAGCTTCAAATTGGAGAAAAACCTGCAAAATATTTGAGAGTTGGAATAGGCTACTCAAGCACAACTCTATCAATTCATCTCACCCAGTGAAGCTTGTGTACAACACAGCATCATAGAATGGTTAGGGTTGGAACTAGATGATCTTAAGGTTCTTTCCAACCCCCAATATATACCCTTATTACACATAAAACTCATTTTGTTTGCAATTACTACCTTATGCTTCCTTTAAGGCTCAAAAGGCAGGAAAGCACCCAGGAAAGATTCACAGGGTTGAACAAGTTTCTAACAGCACTCTCTGCCTGAGGAGACAAGCGTAATATGCAGGGGGAGCCTTCCTGACTGTGTACCCTGTGTCTGTCACAGCTTCCCCCTCCTCTTCCTGCAGCCTCCTTCCCCACCAACACAGAGATGTCCCTCACCCTGCCCCACTCCAATACTACACTGAAGATTCATTGAATTTCTTGGAAAACCATAACTTACACAGAACAGGTTGCAGTGTAGCAGCACCAGGAGAGCAGAGAGCAATTTGCTTTGCACCCAAAAGCATGACCAGAGATAACACTAGCATTTAGATCATGGAATAAATTGCAAGTTTTGATTTTCATGTATGTTTGGAAGGGAATTTTGTAACTCTTCTCTTTACTACAAGCACTACAGAGATTAATCCACATCAGCTTATTACCTCTCACCAGTCGCTGTTTTCTCTTTTTACTGACTTTCACTTGAGCATCGCTGCCCAGCAAAGCATTTGATGTACAAGTGTTTATAAGTGTTCAAGAAAGGCCTCACAGCGTTTTAGATTCAGAATCTGCCAAGTCCTACAGCCATCTCTCTGATCCTTAGAGATGTTTAACTAATAACCTTTTCTGCAGCTTTATATATACTATACACACAGGTGGTTCAGATGTTGACAATCCCAGGTCATTAACTAGAGCTAGTTTTGAACTCTCTTACCTTGAATTCCATTCAATCTTCCTTTTCTGGCTGAGATTGTTAAAACCAGGTGTTACTCGTGTTGACACCCAAGAACTTAAAACATGGAACAGGAGCTGAAATACAGTAAAACTGGCAACAACAATGCCAATAGTCAGGTTGCTGAAGGAAGCCATTGTTCTTCAGCCTGTGAAGAGAAGCAGAAGGCAATTTAGAATCATGGAATGGTTTGGGTTGGAAAGGACCTTAAGATCACCCAGTTCCAACCCCCTGCCATGGGTAGGGACACCTCACACTGGACCGTGTTGCCCAAAGCCATGTCCAACCTGGCCATTTCAGTCCATGCTCCACTGAACTATTTAAAGCAGCCACAGAAAGTGGTTTTGACAGCCAGACTATCAACAGAAATATTACTCACTAAAAGTGTCATCTTGTTCAACATTCCCCCTTAAGCCTTAGTAGTATAAAAGCATCCCCAAACTTATGCACACTACACATTTTCATTGCCTGTAGTTTCATGCATTTTACCTACACGGAAAGGGCAGGAGGACCACTGACCAGTGCAACCACTAGCTCAAAAGCTTCCTCTCCTGTCCCAGGATGCTCCAGAGTTAAAACTAACCTCATTCTTACCAGCCTGACTGCTGCCAGCAGGATTTTAAAAGCAACAATGAAATCGGGTAACTGTAGCAGAGAGATTTTCAGGTCAGGCTCAGGAAGCAACAGCCTCTCTGCAGCTTTATGTTTGTACGCTTTAGAGAGACAGCAGTTCTCAGTTTGCACTTTGTTCACAGATGAGCACACAGGCTATTGCATTTGAACTTTTTTCTCCTTCATGTGAAAGTCTGAGCTCCACACAATTCCAGAGCACACCAAGAAGTTTCCTGTCATCAGAGGACGACGGATGTTTAGCTATTCCATGAGGTCTAAACAAATAGCTAAACAACTCCAGATGTAAATGTCAGTCTCTAAATACTTCTCCCGAGCCACCAACGTTTTGCTAGACACAGTGATATTTTCCCAGGAGCCACAGATTTCTACCATAAAAATCCCAGACTGGCTTGGGTTGGAAAGCACCTGAACATCCCTGAGTTCCAACCTGCTGCCATGGGCAGGGATGCCTCACCCTCGACCACATCACCCAGGGAAGGCTCTGTCCAACCCTGACACATATATCCGGTTGGATGGTGTCTTGAGTGTTTTATATTCCCAGACTGGCAAAGATTACAAGCTCATAAAAAAATCTATTTGCATTAAGTTGAACAGAAAAGGGGGGAAAAGGCAAATAGCTTCATTTAAAATACTTAAATAACTATTTTAATAGCTGTTATGCTGTCACTTGTAGTAGTTTTACCAAAGAAAATACCTAAAAATAAAATGAAGACTTACAGGCTGGCATAATTTGATGTTACTACAACAACCTAATGGTCAGCAAAAACTGATACAATTACACAATGCACTTAACGGCTCCCTTTAGTTCACATGCATTAGAGAATGAGGGAACATGCCTTAGAGTTTTGAAATTATATCTGCATTGCAGATAGAAAGAAACTCGAGCTTGGGGAGGGCAGAGGAGAAGGAAAAGTCCACCACTTAAAAGAGTAACTTCTCAACACATTAACTACAATATTCTCACTCGTTGGTGTAAACGGCGAGTATATTGAAGCATGGTTTCCAGTTACACTTACAACCTCAATGAAACGTGGATTACACGTAGATCAGGGAACAAAATATTTTTGTCTTCAAAGATTTAGAAGCAGAAGGTTCAACGGTCTAAAACTTTTTTCCCCTCCTCCTCTTTCTTTTCCCCCCCCAAAACTGAAGAGTAAAAACAGAAAGGGAATCATGTGAAAACGTTCTCTGACTAGTACACACAGTCAAAGCTACAGCTACATAAGCAGAATGCAGGACAAATAAGAGCAGGTAATTGCAGTGCTTTATCTGATGGCCTGTCCTACGTCAGTGGCATACATACTATAGCATACTCTTTAATGCTAGCCAATCTGTCACGGGTTAAGCCCAGCCAAGTCTATCCCAGCCAAAACCAAGACAATTTCAAACACTATACTGAACGTATATACTAATACATTCGCTGTTCTCTCACCCATTATCTAGAGACAATGGGTGTTAAAGTTGATTTCCTAAAACTTTTCCATCTAAAGGAATAAACCAATTCATTAAAACTTTTTATTTCCCAGTTTAAACCCACTGATAAAGCACAAGGTAGGGTGTCCATTCCAGAATCTGCTCCCAGGGACAAAACCTCATTGTTACATCATCTCATTTGTAGTAAGCAAGTCCTCTCTTGGACTGTGAAAGGAAAAACTCCCAGTTGGTTTCACTCCTCAAGTGAAGGAAACCAGAACCCACGTTGAAGACAATCCTCTTCAGAAAATCAACCGCACCTATTCCACCCTTTTGACTAGAACACAGCAATTCTCATGATGCTACCGACTTTACTCATCTTGCAACGACTGTACTGGTACCGCTGAGCTCCAAAGACACTGACATAATCTCCTGGACAAAAGAACCCCACGTTTTGTTTTGTTTCCTTAGTACCTGAAGATTTTTATTAGGTAAGTAATGTTTCGGGGTGTGACACGTGTTCCTTTTAGTACAGGAGATTATGGAATTAAACAGAAAACCACCCAGCCACCCCTTGCAAGAAGTGCATTAGAAAAAGCTCACCCTTTTGCTAAGGAGCCTGTACAGGGAATTCATTTTAAGGAAAAGCACTTGTGTGGACAGTGCTTGGTCTGTCTGTCAGAAGTGTTATATTCCTGTGTCTCTCAAAAGTCTTAGCAGCAAGTACAGAACCGCGATGCTCACAGAGGAGAAAGGTATTGATGGTAGCAGAGAAGAAACCAGTCACGCAGCCTCTGTAGCTGGTCTCACAGATACTCATAAGCATTTTGCAAGACTGATTTCAGAAGGTGATTTCATACGTGTTTATCAAGATGATGTTTAAATACACGAAGTACCAAGTCCAGGAATAATTTCATGTTTTTCCTAGGCAAGTTAAGAGTGCTGTGTTTTCATTCAAGTCAAGGGCCAGGTATAAACACAGTATTTCACGTGAGATGGAAGAACAGCTCAGCTATCAATGTCTTCTCATTATCTCCTGGTTTCAACTATATCGTGTTTACCATGAAAATTAACTGTCGTTCACCAGATTTTATTTAAAAGGAAAACCATTCCTGTTGGTGAACGAAAGCTTACCTCTTAAAAGAAACACAATAAACTGATTACACACGATTCCTTTGTCCTGAGGACAACGTACGCCAAAAGCAGCTTCAACTACACTGTTTTTCTACCCCTCTATCTTCTTATAGCTGTCCAGCAAAGTCTGATTGAGATACAGAACTTCATGGATTATATATGAGCAGACACTCCATCGCCCAAACTGCATAGTCATTGATTACCATTCAGTCTGCTGATACGGTTTTTGAGCTAGTGGAAAGCTGGGTGGGGAGGGAGGTTTAGTACTTTGTAATGTGGGGAGAAAAGTACTATACCCAGGTTGGTTCTTCACCATTGGTTTGCCAGCAGTGGTCTTTTCCTGGCTTACCCTAAATTACTGTCTCCACCCTTCAGCTGGACTGTAATCAAGAGTGATTGGAACTTCACTCCTGCAGCTTTTCAGTGTAGCTTTTAGGTAAATAAATACCAGCAAATACTTTAAAGTAACGATGTTCAGCAAGGTATTGCTTACACGTGTCTAGCACAGTATCACATTATTCTTTTGACCCCAGTAATTCTGCAAAAGCTACTAACACAGCTTTCAATCATCCTCAGTAAGAGCTGGAAATACTTTTGGCTATCAACATGTTGTGGTCTTCCTACAGTTCTATTGCTATTTGAAATTTAGAAGAAAAGGCCCAACAATATTAAGAGCCAACATTCATTCACCCCCAATACGAAACCAATATGAACTTCCAATAGAAGCAAGTCAGCACTTACTGAAAGAGGATAAAGGAGCAGAAGAGTTACCAAGCATTGTATCATTGGTGGCATTTAGCATTTATATCCTCATTTCACTGCTTCCACATCAACTCTCACATCATCAAAATAAGAAATGCAACTGTATAGCCACAAGACATAGTAAGGAGGTGCAGAGGATGGCATAAGGCCTTCAGCCTTTACTTCTTTCAAAGCTGGATTTTGAGATGAGTTGGATCAATTTCCAAACAAGATTAGACCATAAAGCGGCCAGTGACACCAGGGCATCCCATCCAGCCCTATGCTCTCCTGATCAGTTTAAAACTGAAAGCCAAATCCAATCCTGTCAAACTTGCCACGCTAATCTGCAGTGAGCAGCGTGGGACTACTGACTGTTTGCACGTTTTATAATAAGCCTAGTAATAAAACATCTGCAGTGCCTGAGTTTTGCTGTGCTGTTGGTTCCGAGTGGTGGCTTCTATTGCTCCGAACAGATCAGACATACTGCATTCCGTATGTTACTTAAGCTCGGTGAGCGGCGTTAAGGAGAAACACAGCAAAATTCAAGCTATTCACAGCTTAAGCCATTCCCGTCGCTATCTAAGGCTCCCCACACCCCAAACTCCACTTCTCCAGCTCTTAGAACGCCAAAGCAACCAGCGGGTTAGGCACGCGTTTTACACCGACCGGGTAAACAGGCAGAGCCGTGCGCTGCGCTACCATCTACCTACACCCATCTCCTCCACCCCTGCAAGAAGTTTGCCGTCGGAAAGCAACAGGGAGGAGGGGGAAAACCCCCCTCAAACCCTCGGGAGGCAGGTACCCTCCCCAGGCC